CCATTCTCCTGGGACGTCCCCCAGTCTCTGTGACTTCTCAAAGATTACGGAGAGTGGCCTCGCAACAACATATAGGAATAATGAAGTTATGCTTTTCTTCCCCACGTATTGGTACTGTGTATAAATGTATTCCGTCTTTATGCCCTCATTTACTCACTCTGCAAGAACTGCATCTATTCTGTAGAGTCTTTTCCCCCACCTGAATTTGCAGCGCTATTGAAGGTGTGATAAAATACTTGCTTCTCTTCTGCAAAGAGCTTCAGGATTAGTTAGCTCAGAGCCCAGACCTTCCTTTTTTGTGTTTGATATGCTGTTCATATCCTGTCTCACAGTGACAGGAAGTTATTGATATTTACCAAAGAGTAAATATAAATTGTTTCCATTATTTTTGTTGTGTGTTAAGAATAATTTTTGTATACACATATTCAGTAATAATTAGCTCTGAAATTGGCCTCTCAGCTTTGGTCACTAAAGGGAGATAGTTCGCTGGTTCCCAGCAGAAGAGAGGCAATTTAAAATGAAGGACATTACTCAGAATGGCTTTGGTATCTTCATTCACATTGCCTATGAGAAACTCTTTCAGAGATATTATGGGCTGACAATATGGTCTTGAAATAACTCTTCCCTCAGCATAGGGGGAGCTGAAGGATATTTACTCTTTTTGTAATTTCAAACACTACTGGAGTGGACATCTGCTGCTCCCAATAGCTTTTGTGGCAAGTACTGGCAGTGGCATTGAGTTCCCCCTTCTGTGGTCTTCCACTAACCATCACAATGAAACAGTTGATTTTTCAGTTACGTCTCCATGCCGTAGTTCGCTTAACAACACTGGAGTTATATCGGAAAGGAATTTGACAGACACAGCTACTTCCAAGGAGTGGATCTTAACACAGAATATTCAGGTTGGGAAGATGCTAATCTGTGGTAATGCCAAGGAGTGCAGATCCGCCCACTGAGCTAGCACTGCAGTGCACTTGGGCCCTTGTGCTCTTAGTGTTGTCTCTTCTAATAACAAAAGCGTAAGCGGTTCCTTGGGGCTCTCCGGACGAGCCGGGCATCCAAGGGCACAAGTATCCTCTGCTTTCAGATGTGCTGGCTGAAAAAGCTGCTGCTCCCAATTCCATATCACAGCGCCTTCGTTGGAGGTGTCGGTCCCCCTGACCCCTCAGAGCTCAGGGAGCTACTTGGAGGACCATTCCTTAGTCTGGCTCAGTTCACAGAAGCAGGATTAACTAAAAGCCTTTAGATGATGTCTTTACTGACTTCGTTCTTTCTGACATACATAAGCTAGAGAGTACTTCCGTGTGCAGTGCACCTGACAGGTTTGAGGAGTCCTCAGTAATGGCACAGTAACCTTTGGGTCAGAACAGGAGGTGTGTGCAAGACCTTCTGTGTTCTGGCTGACCACCTAAGTTATTGTCCCTCTACAAGCCCCACCATCCATTTTGGTTACCCTGGAAGATAACTTGCCTTTGACCCATGTGTTACCCTTAGCCCTCCCTCCCTCTGTGTTACTTCCCACCTTTTCATTTGTTTTTTTCATCTGTTTAAATTGTAAACTTCTTGGAAGAAGGTGTCTCTGTTTTCATGATGCCAAGCAGAACAACCCCCTGATCTTGCTCAGGTCCTTCCATTTCTGCTGAAATAATTAATGTGGTTTTGTGTGAGCTGTTGCAAAGTGTCTAGAGACTGCTAGATCTGCCTACACAGTTACTGTGGTGCACCTTGGCCAAATTGTTGTTTGTAAAGCAATTTTGTCTCTAATATAAAAGGCACTGTATAAAATCAGTTCCTATTATCTTTTCATAGAGAATTTTCCATCTGAATTGTAAGCTTAGAATTGCTGACTATCTCCTTAAACACTTCCAGATAATAATGATACATGTTCTTCCAGTTAATATATATCATTACTTTTTGTCAAGCAAGGCTCGATTCATAGTTGTAGAAATAATATGATTTACTGGCCTCCAGCCAATCTGTTAATTACCTGCTAGTTACTTAAAGCACCTGGGGCTTTGGTTCGTTCCAGTGTAAGTTATTAGCTTGCTGGTAAAGGATCAGTACCTCATAAATAGTTTCTTTAAATAACTTTACAATGCTGCCAAAGTTTAATTTTATTATTATTTATAAGAATAAATATGTCAGGGAAAGCTTTAAATTACAGTTATATAAGGCAACTATTTTGATTTGAGATGTCAAATAGTGGCCCCATGTCCATGTGAACAGCATACAAGTGTCATAGACCTGTTGCTTAGGCACCTTCAGGTCTGTGGGAGAATCTCAGTAGTTTTACATGTACCAGACTGATTGAAGACTGATTTGTTTTGTAATACTTAGTTTGTTTTATTTTTTTGGTCATGTTGTTTTAGAATAAGATCAAGTGAAGAGATCTTAGGTCAGACTTTATTTCTGGTAACTCCACTGAGATAATTTACAGGCGTTAAGGCTCTGGCTGCTTTAAAGTAATTGAAACAGATGATAGACTTTTTCATCTCTCTTTTTCTGTATCTCATCTCTTCTTTTTTTTCCCTAGAAGTCATAAGAAGTCATACTTGTTTAAAATGTAGGAGAATAGATGTAAAAAATTCCTGCTTTCAGTAGGAAAAAGCTGGGACTGTCTTTGGCCTGAGAAACATCCTTTAGGCAGGTTCTGTACCTGAAGTTAGAAAATAATTTTTCTGCAGCATTCTTACAGTTTTGGTTATAAAAAGTGTCTCAACTGATGAATTGCTTTTGTAGCTCAAGGGGAGTGAAAAAATTCTGTAATTGCTTAGGTCCTAGGCCTTGCTTAGATGCCTTATATCTGCTAAATAAACTGATGGCCCAGCTAGCAAATTTAAGGACAGGTATCGCACACTCTTCCTGCAATGGACCATTACTTAATTCTGTGTGAGCTGAACTCCCTGAGAAAAGTTAACAAATATGCCCATGTAGAAGAAATTACATTAATCCAGTTTCAGTTGTAACCTCAGGTGAAAGGAGAAGTTAAAAGCTTCCAGTCAAACACAGTGGGCAGAAAAAAAGTTTTTTCTTTTTGTCTTGTGATGTTTATATTCATCAGGGTGGGTGAGGAACCTCGCAGGAGCCCATAGCAGTGAATCACCATGGTAAGCAGCTGGCCAGTTTACCCTAATGTAGAAATTATCTCAGGATAAAATCTGTTTGACCTTGGCTTGTTAATGTGGGTTTTGGATGGTGGCTGGAAGGAGTGGGCAAAAATAGGATGAGGAGGCAGAGCAAAGCACGGTCTAAGCAAGAAGCCTGAGAAGGGTTGTGCTTACTATAATGTGTACTTGTAATATTATGGACAGGAGAGAAGAAGGATCACAGGAGCAGGAGCAGTGCTAGAAGAGATACCGAGGAGGGCAGTGCTAGTTGTCCTGCCCTGCACATCCTTCCAGCCTGCAGGAAAAAAGCTGCTGTACCCAAAGCTACCTGTGATGAACTGATAACTTTTATGCTTCCCTGCTTCCATATTTTTTTTTCCCAAAAGCGTGAGCTGAGGGTGCATGGTACTGTGTAGTGGATACACCCATACAGAACATTCCTGGTTGTGGGAGTTCAAGAGCCAAATGAAGAAGAATGGCTTAAAGATGAGAGCAGATACAGAGATGAACTTTGTTGTCCCGATTTGTATAGGCTGGCTAAGTTGATGGCTAAGCAAGGGGGAGAGACAGATTGCCCACCTAATGAGTGACAAAAGCAAAAATGTAGGTTTCTATCACCGCTGAGAAGTGGTTCTGACTGAGAAATAAACACCACAGCAAAGCAGCTTTAGCTAAAAATTGGATTCTCAGCAGCAGGAAGTGCCTGATCTGATTGTTTACACCTTTTTTTCCAAAACTTGGGCAGGCTGTTCCTTGTCTTTGTGTCTCCTATTTTTCCCCTTCCCCTCCTCTGCCTTGCCTCTCTGACTTTCAGCCCTCTCAGGTCTTCCAGTTGTCTCCCTTTGCCCTCAGACCTGGAAGGAACGTTCTGCTCTAGTGGGAGGTGACAGCTTCTTTTATGTTGTGTGCTACAGTTATCTGACTTGTGCATCTCAGAGCAAAATTGATAAAGACTCCTAAGACAAGATGGTAATTTTCAGTCTTTAATAGCTTATTGTATTTTAAAGGTCTAATGAAAGAACTGTGTGTTAGTTAAATGATGATTAATATGGATGCATATGAATAAAATATACCAATTTATGTCTGATTTTGTAATAATAGTGTTGGACTTTTCTATTTTCACTGACTTAAGCCTATATAAACAAAGAGATCATAAGAGAACAGCATGTCTGCGCTTGTTTAAATCAGATGGAATTAGTGACATGTGCCCTTTGTAGCTCCCACGTTATGTGGAAGTGCTGAAAATTATTGTGGTTTCATTCTTTTTGTACCAGGATAGTTCAAGATTTAAAGCCAAGACCTAACCCATCTGCTTTATATCACATGATTCAGTCTGTGAAACAGTATAGGAACTGTAGTAGAGTTATTATTTTTGTGTCATAGGAGGGGAAAAAAAGAGAGAACAGGTATTGTCATGCCTAAGTATATATTTTTTCCCCAGTTTCTGTGCAAGTCATTATAGAGCCACTGTTGTGAACTTTTTTCCTGGGTGAGAAGATTGTTAGGTTTAAGGTGCAAGTTCCCAGTTGTTGAGACAAGCACCTGCCCATAGATAGAAGATGGGCCCTTTTGAGGTTTTGAATACTTGCCCCCCACATAGTTTAAGCTGACTGGGCAGTAGGTTAGGATGGATAGAAATAAGCTATTTGGAAAATAGAGAGGCATAGTCAGATGAAGATTGGCACTAGTTTGATAAAACCAGTTCAAATGTCTATTTAGAGAAACAAGGGGAGTAGTCAAGTGTAGGAAGCTAAAAGCCACCTGAGATCTCAAGTTTATGCCCTCTGCTGCAATGAAAATTAAGTTTACATAGAAATGTCAGTAATGGAATAACTGGTTGTGGTTTTTTGTTTATAATGTCAATACATTGATGTTCTGTTTCTTCACTTGCAGCTGCACTGAGAGCTTGTGCTGATGGAGGTGCCAATCATCTCTATCACATCACGGAAGGAAACCAGGACAGGTATGTTTAACAATAAACTTGAGGTCATTGAAGTCATCTCTTCTCAGTGAAACTAAAAGACAGAGGAACATGATCTGTTCGGTTACTGGAGTAGCTGTCTGCTCTGTGCATGGTACTTCGATGAACTGTGGCAGGTAGTATAGTATTTTCTCCACATTATCTTTAATTTTCATTCCCAGATACAATTTTTAAAACCACACAGGTATCCTGAAATACCTTTTATCCTTAAGGCTACTGCTTTTTTTTCTTCTTGAAAGCTCTGCTTTTGGTCTGTCTTATTTTATGCATCCATCAGAGCTAGGCCTTCGATGCAGCCTCTGAAAAAAATTTCCTGTGCCCCTAGCAAGGGTTGACTAGAGGAACATCTGATGCCTTTCACCAGCAGCTAAAACAAAGTATGTCCTCTTCATTCTTCTTGTGAGGCCTTAGACGAAATGTTTGCTTTGAGAAGTGAGATGGGTAATAAAATAGGAAGTCTACTTTTCCTTTTTATGTATTTCTAAATTAACATTAGGGCATCGTAAGTGACAAAAGGCAAGTACAGAGGTTATCTATAAATGTATATGCCAAGTGAGGAAGTATGACTGAAAGGAGAATATGTTGTTGCTTTCTGTAGCGGCATTTAAAATTGTAAAATATCCCAGGTTTCTGCCCCAGAACTGTTGAGCTGGGGTTCTGATGCAAAATACTGCATTCAAGTCCTTTCTCATTTTTGTAGTGGAACCATGGAATACTGTGTAATCTGAGGTTGCTAAGGATCCTTTTTGCTTGTCTTAAGGATTTTCAGTTGTTTTGAGCAAGAATTCATAAATAAATAGTTTAATAAAAGCAAACAAATGAATAAAACTGACACTCTGGGCAATGGAATGAGACAGGTATTTGGTAGAACTTACAAACTTATGAAAAATTCTGTTCATACAGCAAAATCTGGCATGTAGTTTGTGTTTCATCTCATGGCACGTGTATGGCAGAGGCCAGGGGAAGCCCGGTTTCCTCCTGTCCTTCAGAGTAAAGACCAGGGTTGGAAAGGAAGACTGTAGTCAAAGTAAAAGTTAACTTAAAACTTCTTCCTTTGTCACCTGTGGGAAGTTTGATGGCTGAGATCTGCAACTGCTAACACCAAGAGTGGAGTCAGTCAAGCACTACTGGCTGTTGTAGGAGTATTCCTTCTGTAATCTTCTATTTATCTTCTCCTAATAGTTGCTCACAGAGCCATGCACAATTTAATCTTGAATTCAAACACAAATCTGTTTGACTTGCAGCAAGCAGTTCTCTTTGAATGGTGAAGCTTTCCAAAGAACAACATTTTAGATCTTTCATTTTACCTTCTCCTGTAAGCCATTCATCTCTTCTGCACACCTTTATTTTTGTATTAAATAAATATAATTCAAGGGAAAATGGATGATTATACCTTGACCAAATAGTTCTTTCAGTCTTACATACTTGGCCCTTGGAGTATACTTTTTCTCTATCTTTCTTCTTCTCATCTTAATTGCTGTGAGTAGTTATATTTTACCTTCAAAGTGATTCTTTTGAAACAAAAAAAAAAAAAAAAAAAAAAAGAAAAAAACCCCAGACCTGCATAATTTTGATTTTTGTCTTTAAAGAAATCATTCTGCTGGAAAGAATATTCATTTACTTCTCTGAAGTATTTTCCCTTAAATTCCCTGTCTGGTGTTATTAAAGAGCTGTCTGCTCAGACTCTACTGACATGCTAATCATTTTTTTAATGCTGTCTTAACCTTCTGTTTAAAACTCTATTTTATTCAAAGCCCTGATATCAAATTGTGTTGTATCAAACCCTAAAAACTACAGTCCTTTAATTCTAGCGAGATCATTATATTCAAGACATATAAATAAAGAATTTGATTGATATTTTGGTCTTGGTTCTCAGTGACACCAAAGTGCGTGAAGAATCTTTTAGAATGGGAATAAATTACAACATTCTGGGAAGAGGGCAGTTTGCAATATGGGACTGCTACAGGCATGTCTTCCTTTGGAGATAAGTGAAGTAGTTGTTGCTGTTTTGAAGAGTCCATTTCCAAATCCTAGAAAAATATAGGGCTAGAAGTGGCCTCAAGCAATCTTCCTTCTTTCCTTCTGTTTCAAGGTAAAGACAAACCTACGTGTTCTATTCTTGGCGCATGCCTAGTTAGCTGGTTCTTAAAAATCTTCAAGGGGGAGCCCCACCACCACCACATCCAGCTTCCTCTGCTTTTGGCTAAAATAAACCTAGCGTGTTTGGGCTTGCTTTATTGGTCAGCTTTTCTTATTGGCCTCTCTTCAGTTAGTTCATAAGTAGTGCTGTGGCTGAAGCTACACAAAATGGTCTACAGGAGAATTACTCCGTGCTGAACATTCCTTTAACTTGCTTCTCATGGTAAGTCAGCCTATGCTGTTGAATGAAAAGCAGCAAGAGCAGATGCAGGGGCCCCCATTTCCTGCCTCCCTTCATTTCCTTTTTTCTCCATCATTGTCTTGACTTGTTTCTGTGCTTGAGTGGTTCACCTATTCCCATCAAGCAAAGCAAGCTCTCACCGTCCTCACTATAGCACTGCACAGGCTGGTTTAGCAATGTGACTTCAGGTTATGAGATTAACACATGTACCATGTTATATGTCTTAATCCATGTTTGTGGTGTCATTTTTATGATGTGTTTGGTTGGTTTTACCATAAGTTTCTGTAAAAAATAGCTCAACAAATCTGAATTGCAATTATTCTTGTTTAAAAACAAACCAACCCAAGAAAACCTTCATTTTTGTAACTAGTAATAAAGAGAAATAATGTTGTTTTTTTTTTTTTCAATGATGTGTTAAAACAAATTGCCTTATAGAGTAGGACAGGTAGGAAGAGTAACCAAAAGGGCAGGATAACTTTTCCTTAGAGAGGCCCGTGCTTGGAAGCTGTCAGCGTTGGGGACAGATGAAAGGCAGGGGGGGAGAAGGGACTGACTCCTGTGCTGTGTTGCTTTTCTCTCTCTGGCTCTGTAGCCCAGAAAGGTTATTTTCCTTAGACTATATTTTCCTTTGTTAACATCACTTCCCATTTAGAAATAAGAATCACTGCTAAACCGTTTTTGATTGCTAAACATTTGCAGCTAATCAGAGTTAAAGGTGAGTTACCGATCTTTACGGATTTTTGCTCTGTCTTATTTTGTCTGCCTTGCCTATCCTGTTATTTCCTTGAATCGCTGTGAAGCACTGTTAGCCACTTCAGAGTTAGGTTGTTGCTTATCTGTATCACACTACAGCAACTTCTTTCTCAACACTTTCTGATTAAATCTTAAGGCATCGATTAACCTGTGTGTCACTGTCTTTGGGGTATATGAAGGTGACGATGCATTGAAAACTATCATCATATTGGCACCTGTAAAAACAATCATTAGCACTTGTGTCTCAGATGCTGTTTTCCAGAGAGATGTCAAATCCATTGTGTTCTCAAGTTTTGCAACGTGAAGAGTTTCAGGTTAAAGAGCGGAGTGGTGGGCTCTGTAAGAGGAAGGATAATCCTATCAAAAAAATACTGGCTTTCTGGGGTTCTAGTTGGTTATTTCATTATATGAGACTTAATATATGACATGAGGTTGGTTGCCTACAATCACTAAGAACATCACTTTTGCTACCCTTCCAGTTTCTTTTTGTGAACTGCATAAAGTATAAGAGTAGCAGTGAAACTGAAAAATGGTTGTGTATTTTGAGGTATCACTTCCTCCATAGAAAACATACAGGAGGCAAACTTAGGTGATGCATGAAAATGCAGTTACTACTATAAAATTCTTCTCTGAACTGGCCATTCAGGGAGGCAGCTTCAAGAAGCTCTAAATGTGTGTTTGAACATTAGGAACAAATTTTGTAAACATTTCCAGGAGCTGCTAAACTTCAAGCAGAGACCTCAAAAAATCTTTTTAGAAGCAAGTTATATTCAAGAATACATATTGCTACATAAAGTTTGTTTTTCAGTGACACTCCTCCTCCTCTCCAAGGATTTAGTCAGAACGAATCAACAATTTTGACTGTACAAGGTGATGTTACTACTTTAACTTGGATTTAACGAACTCTTCTATGTCCCAGGCTTTGTGTTGAAAACCTAATGTGGAAAATAGAAGTCTTAATTGTACAGCTTTTACAGCTTACACTTACTGAATTTTATACTCTTAAATATCAATGAATACATTTAGCCATATCACAAACTTTTCCATGCAGACTACTCCTGAGGAGTTTCTTGCCCTTCACATGCCTGGAAATGGTTTCCAGGATTGTCTCCCCTGTCACCTTCCCAGGGACTGAGATGAGGCTGAGCAGCCTGTAGTTCTGAGTCCTCCTTCTTGCCCTTCTTGAAGACAGGAATGATATTTGCTTTGCTCCTGTCTTCAGGCACTTCCACCAGTCACCATGATAGATCAAATATTATCACGGGTGGCCTTGCAATGACCTCAGCACTCGTGTGCATCACATCTGGGCGCATATATACGTCTGTGTTGCTTAAGTACTCCCTGACCTGATCCTTTTCCATCAAGAGTACATTTTCCTTGCTCCAGTCTTTCCCCCTGGTTTTTGGTTCTGGGATTCCTGAGGGCTGGTCTTGCTAGTAAATACTGAAGCAAAGGAGGCGTTCACTACCTCAGCCTTTTCCATGTTTTCTGTAACCAGAACCCCTGTTTCATTAAGCAATGGGCCCACACTTTTTCTAGTCTTCCTTTTGTCGCCTGTGTACTTAGAGAAGCCCTTCACTCTGTCTTTGACATCCCTGGCCAGATTCAATTCCATTTGGGCTTTAGCTTGCCTGACTTCATCCATCCCCAGGCAGACCTCCACGCACTCCAGCTGCTCTCTCACACAAAGAGCAACTCCTCCTCCTCCTCGTCTTCCCATCCTGTCCTTCCTAGAGAGCCTTCATCCCCTCGGTGCAACGCTCCATCCATGTTTCCACGATCCCAGCAAGATTGCAGCTCTGCAACTGCACACAGATCTCTAACTCATGATGTTTTTCCCTATGCTGCA